ATGCTGTGAAATTCATTAAACAAATTGTTATCTCGACATTGTGACGTATTAAACAATCTTCCTCTGATTTTCGCAAATAATAACATCGACATTTGAAGTTCCACAAATTGTATGTCGCAAACATCTGGAGGCATTTCGAATTGAAATACGGAAATTCAAAGCTAAGAGTCGTCGACGAGTTGAAGCTTTGACTTATATTTAACTACTTTTTTGGTAATACAGTAACACTAAGGGAACGTACGCATACTACGTGACCCGTTTTGGGGGGGGGAGTCCTTAAAATACTACGGCCAGTCACAAGAGCAGGGGGTGGGGCACAGATTTTAGTCACGTATTCGTTGTTTTTTTTCATAATGCATAATTCACTAGTAATTTAAGTATGCATGCAGTCTTATGCTATAAAGAAGAGTATGAGCCAAATTATTTTTTTTTAATTTTTGCCTGTGATATAATTATTAATTATGAATTACTACGTAAAACCAAAAGGGGGGGGGGGGGTGGCATGTACTACGAGTGGTCACCGAGGGGAGGGAGGGGTCGAAAAAACTAAAAAAAATAGGTCACGCAGTATGGGTACGTTCCCTTATATGCTATACGTAATCTAAGACATTGTTACGTAACATTCAAGTATAACCCTTAAAAGTAAGGGCAGTAGGCAAGTAAGCAAAGGCTAATGTTCCCAAATTACAACTCTAAAGTACAATCTTGTAAACTAATCGAGCGACATCCAAACTTGTCATTTACGGCCGCCATCTTGTATAGGGTTCGATTCATCAAAATGACAGATGACTTGCACTTCGTTCTAAAACTTCTATCTACAATATAATCCGACAACTAACTATAATGAATGAGTAATCAATCAAATCTGCGTTTAATTATTTTAAATGAGATTAGTATGGCTTTAATTTAAGATATCAACAGCATTGAAAAAAATCTCTATCATTTTGTACCTATTTCTATATTATAAGAGTTTTTAAATAAAAATAAACGGTCCAAAGAAACTTCATTTGTTCAGCAAACTTTGCTACAATATTATAATTTCTTTCTCTCACACAAATCAGCGCCTGCAAAATTTTTGTTAGCAAAAAAACTTATAGCTTTAATTGCAGTTTACATTCTTAATATGTTTCCGTTTACTCATATACTGGAAATTAAAAAAATATGAATTATCAGAAATTAATAATTAGATAAGAAAGTAATATCAAAAACAATAAAAAAAATTGCAATTTCAAATTCGTTTCTTTCTAACTAATATAAATGCGAATGTTTGGATGAATGAATGAATGTTTGAAAGTATCTCCAGAACGGCTGAATGGATCTCAATGTATTTTATTTTAATTCCACGCGGCCGGATTCGCGGGAGATAGCTAGTATAACATATATTTAAAAGAATTAAAGTTAATTTTCTTAATGTACCTTTTCCTTATTTTCGATGGCCACTGTTTACTTAACGTAGAAAAGTTTTAATTGGATATTTCTTTTCCTTCAAGTTTCCTGACCAAGATATTTGGAGAACGAGATTTCTTTTTAAAACACGAAATGTTTCGGAATTAACTAAATACATATTAATGTTTGAAAATATTTAAAAACTTTTTTGGAACATTATTCAAATCCAATGTTAAGGGATATTAAAGACATTTTTTTAGTCTTAAATGCATAAGTTTATTTTAAATAGCTGTCGCCCGCGACTCCGTCTGCGCGGATTAAAACGTTCTTCCAGGTTATGTTCTATATCTATACCAAATTTCATCAAGATCCATGCAGCCGTACCCAAGATACCTTCAAAATAAATCCATCCATTCATCTAAACATTCGCATTTATAATATTAGTAAGATGTAAAAGATTTTGGCTATACTTAACCACTCCATCTGGCCGAGTCAGTGTTTGAATACTTTTTGGCAAAGCTCCGAGAGCTTTCACCTTAATTATTATAAAAGGAAGTGAAACTTTTCTTAGGCACTTTTCATATATGAAACCACCTTTATAAAATGTACCTCATTTTACATATGACCCTAATTTGAAGACGAAAAATAAAATGTTAAAAGCATTTTATAACATAGCTGTTGCCCGCGACTCTGTCTGCGAGGAATTCAAAAATAAAAACAAGCATCCATCTATTCATTTAAACATTCGTATTTATAATATTAATAAGATATTTTTGGAACCATGATTCTTGTTACATTCGTTCTTTGTAGGGTTTTTATGTGCTTTTTATTTTATTTGTTTTAAAACCATTTAATTGGATTAATATTGTAAATTCTTCAATGATAGTTGATTTATAAATGTTAAAAGCTTAATGCTAAAATATTAATCCATTACTTTTTAATTAGATGCTTGAAAAGAATCTAATTTTGTTTAATTACGTAGTAGAGTTATGTAATATTAATTAGTATCCTATGTGTTCTTTCAGACTGTGTTCTACATCAATGCCAAATTTCAGCAAAATACGTGCAGCCGTTTTGGAGATACATCAATAAAACAAACATCCATCTAAACATTCGCATTTATAATATTAGTAAGATTTTATTACTAAGTAACCATTGAACGACTGAGTACCATGTACAGTACAGTACCATGAAACTAACATCCATCCATCCATCTTAACATTCGCATGTATAATATTAGTAAGATAAAGTGTCTAGGCAGCAAGAGATACTCTGTAGGATGCGAAACTAAAATAGCGTAACGACCGCTGCTCGGACATTTAATGATTTTTCTACATAAAGGTCATCATCTCCCAATCCCCATTAAACTCTATGTAGAGTCTACGCACTAGACTTTCAATCCAATCGAGAGATTATTTATTTTTAGTAATCACTACCGTATACAATTATATTCCTAACACCAATTTTCTCGTTGTTTGATGTTTATTACGAAAATATTGGATTTGAAGACAAAAACAATAGATATTTGGCTTTGATTTTATTACTAAGTAACCATTGAACGACTGAGTACCAATTTAAATATTGTGCCAAAACAATTGTCAAAAGTCACCTGACTATGGATATCAAATAGTAATTTTGTCTAGTACACAATTAAATAGACTAAGGGGGTAACAGATAAGATTCAGGGCAAATCAATATAAAGTAGGAAGATGTTGGATAAGTGCAAAACAACACGCCAACTGGAGTGTTCCTCGCGTGTTTCAACATCGTATACACCGTCAAGTTATTTTGTACTATTTATAACTTGTAAAGCCGTTAGCTTGAATGCGGAAAACGATACTTAAGTTTTGGTATTGATTTAACGTTTTATAATCTCATACAGATTCAGACTCTTTTTCAGATTATTTTAAAATTGTAGACAGTAACATAATATTGGGAACAATATAGGGAGTTTTACAAACTTAAAAATATGTTTATTTAAATTTTACTGCCTTACTAATATTGTTAATGCGTATGTTTAGTTGTTGAACGATGTTTTTTTAGATCTCTAGAACGGCTGTATGGATTTTTAGGAAATTTGGCATAGATGTAGAACATAATCAGGAATACATTGGCTACTAATTAAGTTTGTTTAATTTTTCGCGGACAGTCACAGGCTACAGCTAGTATATAAAATATGTAGAAGAAGTAATAAATTTGTCGCTTGTAAGATTCGTCCGGGTCTCAACAAAAGCAGCCCTCTTCAATGTCAGAAAATTCAAGAAGGGATCAATAAAATGCGGGTACACAATGATTAACAGATTTTTTGTGAATTCTAAGGAATATAGAAGTAAAAAACACTATCAAAACTTTTAATATATGGAGTTTTGATGATGAATGAACAATTTGACACTATGATCGTAGGTTTTGACCGCTGACCTCTATAAATAGATTGGCTATACGACATAGTAATTTGTGCCTATTTGATTGTCGTCATTTTTCGCTTGAGGATTCGTACTAATAATATAGATAGAAAGTCCTATCAGGCAATATATAAAGGCGCGGGTAAATCGGAACGTAGTAAAAGCTGTCACTTTTAAGCAATCGCCTATCCATTTACAGAGAACAGTGGTTTCGACTTATGTCATATTTTTATGCACAGGGAGGTTAGATGAAGTGCTTTCGCTCTGAAGCGATTCTTTGGACTATCTTTGGATAAGTCACGTGATTGTTGCTCGTCAGTCTTATAATATGCGAATGCACTTTGTCTAACCCTCCCGGATATTGTTGGGTTTCTTTTGGACGATATAAACAATATTAAAACTGTATTAAAATCTAGAATACATGTTATGATACGGGCATTTTAAAATTGTAAATTTATGACCTAAGTTAACATCCTGCAATGCGTACTTTAGTTGACATGATTTAAGTTTCTTGTTCAATTCATAATTATGATTTGATGGAACTTCCTCGCGTGATGGTATAAAAATTATTCTAATGTTCTTTAATATTTGATTAGAAATATTCGTTCTCTTCCAATCGACTTCGGTCGGATGTTTTTGATTGTACGTTGTTTTGTAGTTAGGCAACCATCTTGTAAGTTGATTTATGTCATTTGAATAAATATATGTTTTTATATTACGATCGTTGTAATAAAAATATTGGTTTCTTGTATTGTTCATTAAATCTTTAGGTAGTTCTTCAACTCTTGTAGTATTTTGTATAGTATTGTTTTGATCGCGATACAAAATCATACTCAATATTTTTTCTAAATCATTTCCTTTCTGTATTGCATTGTTCGGGTTTTCTGAAATCAACTAGAAGTTTTTTAATTATATTTATTTTAGTTCAATTATTTGCTATGTAAAAACAGTAGGCAATATTAATATTTTATATTACCAGCTGTTAACTTAATAAGTAACCTATGTGTTTTTTTAGACTATGTTCTACATCCAAATTTCATCAAAATCCGTTAATCCGTTCCGCAGATACCATGAAACAAACATCCATCCATCCATCTTAACATTCGCATGTATAATATTAGCAAGATAAAGTGGCTAAGCAGCAAGCGATACTCTGAAGGATGCGAAACTAAAATAGTGTAACGACCGCTGCTCGGACATTAAATGATTTTTCTACATAAAGGTCATCATCTCCCAGTTCCCATTAGACTCTATGTAGAGTCTACGCACTAGATTTTCAGTCTAATCGAGAGATCATTTAATTTTAGTAATCACTACCGTAAAAAAGGAAGGAAGGATAAAGTTAAAATGTGTATATTAGAGGAAGTTTGAGAGTAGCGCCCAGTGATCGAGAAATTGAGGAGTTAAAGATTAGCGTGGTTTGGACATGTTATGAGGAGGGATGATGATGATATAAACAAAAAAGTAATGAGATTGAATGTGGATGGGTACAAGGGTAGGGGAAAACCAAAAAAAGTATGGAATGACGGTGTGAAAGAGGATATGCGTAAGAAGGAGGTAGACAAGGATATGACGGCTGATAGAGATGTATGGAGGAGTAGTACATACTGTGCCGACCCTCGATAGGGATAAGGGCAGGTTGATAATGACTACCGTATACAATTATGTTCCTAACACCAATTTTCTCGTTGTTTGATATTTATTACTAAAATGTTGGATTTGAAGACAAAAACAATAGATATTTGGCTTTAAAGTTACTTTTAGTTAATTAGTGTTATAATATGACGTTATTTAAGAATTACAACCATTCGAATTCCTTACCATTTTCTTTTGCTTCTGAGTTATTAATGTCCAATATTAAATGTATCTTTTCACTGTCTTTTTCATCGTTATTTGTATCGTGTTTATAATTTAGTGTTTTAAAAAGGATATCTTTTAATAGATTGTTTTGTTCTTGTAAAATTTTTAAGTTTACGCTCGACTTAAAATCTGTACTGTCTAGATATTTAGCGTCGTCTAAATTATTTGATAATTTCTGTTCTTTTGGAATTTTATTTTCCAAAGTTTTCTGTTTATTATCTGAATTTGTTTCATCTAATTCGTTCATTTTCAAAGAATTACCTAATACTTTTAATAATGGAATAATGGCATCATCAAATAGATTTTCTTTATTGTAATCTTTAGGATAAATTATCTTTTTTGTGCCAATATCTTTGTTATTTAATTTATTTTCAAGAACAAGATTGTGTGGTTTATTATGTAATTTATTTTGATCTGATCTTGTAATATCATTTATTTTATTATTCTTAGCAACCTTTTTCTTTGTTGGTCTACGTTTTGTTGGAACAATGGTGGAATCAATGTTATTCTTAATCGATTCTATACCTTGTGAGTCATTTGGTTTTTTATTTAATTCTGTTTGTTGATTTTCATTATTATCTCCTAAAAACTGTCCTGGTATTGGTATAGAATTAGTTATTATATTTTTAATATTAGATAATTTAGGTATATTCTGTGATAATCGTGTAACGTCGTCTATATGTAAATTTATTAAATCGTCATTTCTAGATGTTGGTTCATCGTTTTTAGTAATTTGGACATTTTCTTCTGATTTTGATAGGTCTTCGTGTAGTCTCTTAATCCTTGAATTAACCTGTGAAGAATCAGTATTAATTTTAAGGTTTACGCCATTTGCAATAAAGAGAACTTTTTTTGTTTCGGCACTAAGTACATGATAAAAACTACGACTGTGACTAATGTTTGGAAGATAATATTGAATTATTATTTTAAATAAGAATAAAACGAGTTCTTTATATAGAACTGTATTTTAAGAGTTTAAATACTTACATTTTTATCCAAAGTTCCATGACAAAATACAATAAATGTTATTAAAGTCATAAATAATTCTTTTGCTAGCATTTTCAAAATTCCTTACTACACTTTAACACGAATACATGATTCTTAAGAGCTAAGCACCAGAATAAGACTTTAGACTCATCATTTGTTTAGAAAAAAATTTGGTTCTACATCTAATGAATTAGTTTTGCTTATTCGAATATATTAATAGCATTTATAAAAGTTTATAAACATTCACGTCACTAAGAAGGTTCAGCATATTGAAAACACTAGCTGTCGCCCGCGAGTCCGTTCGCGCGGTATTAAAAACTTAATTAGTAGTCTGTGTTCTACCAGATTACGTTCTGCATGCTTGTCAAATTTAATCGACATCCGTTGAGCTGTTCTGGAGATACCTACTAACATACATCCATCCATCCATCTAAACTTTGGCAACTATTATATTAAGTTTGGCACAAAATTGTGAGTTTTCATTTCCTTAAATTATTTATGGTAGAGTTGTAAAGTTCTGAGAAGTTTTGAGTTTCATCCGTAATTATTCATTGTCTTAGGTTATTTAATCTATTTGCTATATTCTTGATATTATTCCATTATCATCATCAGCTCATTATACTCTCCACTGAGGGGCTTAGACCCTAAGTTAGGGGTGACTAAGCTTTAGTCAACCACGTTGACCCAGTGCGGGATGACTGAATCTATGACTACATATGTATCTTTGAATTTCTTCACAGATATTTGTAGCACCACGATGTTTTCCTTCACCGTAAGAATTCTCCAATATCATACTAAAAAAAATGCTAATTAAAAACAAATTCCTTTTAATCAATCATATGTTATACATAATTTCAATAACAGCATCGTAAGCTTGTCGTAGGAAAGGGAAAAACTCAAATATAGCAGATAACGCGAGAACAGATAATGTAATTATTCTGCTGATGCCACGAATTAGATCTAATTTAGTAGTTAACGGTGTTGACTTTCGTAATGATTTTGTTTCGAAGACCACTTCCTTTGGTGGTGTTACCTGGAACAAAAATAAGATAAGTAGTTTTATGATAGACTAGCTGTTGCCCGCGACTTTTAAAACTAAAAACTAACATGTAGCCTATTTGTTCTTCCAGACCATGTTCTACATATACGCCAAATTTCAGCGAGATCCATGCACCCTTACCGGAGATACATTCAAACAAACATCCATCTAAACATTCGCATTTATAATATTAAATAGTAAGGTAAAACCAGCGTGATTATTTTGTAGCAATGCGTCAATCGAATCAGGAGAATTAGAAGTAGAAAATTATGGAGAGAATAAGACTTAGGACAATTATCTTTTAATGTTTTTTTAAAAGATAATTGTCCTCAGTCTTTAGTCTTTAGGCCGGAAGCCTTTTTATAAACAAAGGATAGGAAGGGGAAGTATATTTGACAGGAAGATGATGCACAGAAAAATAACATTTCCCCTTTCTATGTGCCCTCATTAAAGGTAGAGGTTGCTTCGGGATTTCGGCGAATTCACGTTGGTACTTGCTCCTTTTAATATACCGTATTAAATCTTGTATTGCGGCATGATGTCTAGATTTTTTTGCACCAAGGATCATATCTCAATTTAACAGAAGAACAATCATTATTGTCAGACGTTTTAAAACCTAATTTTTAATATTATTTTAGGACAAAATGTCAATCTCATTATGGTCATATTTATTAAACTAATTTCCATTTGTTTAAACTACTTTATTACTTTGCAAGTAACCGTTTGCTGTAATCAAAGTAAAATACAAGTAATTCTTTGGTTTTATTTAACCAATATCTATACGTTACTTTCCCCACACAAGGGAAGTTTAACGACTGACTTTGGAACTATGTCGTCAAAGTTTACGGAGCATAGCTGAACCATTAGGACATTGGACGGCATTTACTTCGTTTTGTTTACCTGGAAAACAACACCAGGCTCTATTTTAGATGGGACGACATTGCGTTGACTTTCAGAACAAGGCTGTAAATTTAGAATCAATAGTTTTATTTTATTATTAAAAAAAAACCATCGTTTTGTAGCGTCGATGGCTCAGGGGTTAATGTACTTGACTTGTAATCAGCAGGTCCTGGGTTCGAATCCCGTCATATAACACTGTGTTTTTCGATTTACATATGTACATTTATCCGACGCTCATACGGTGAAGGAAAACATCATGATGCAATCTGCACATATCTTTGAAGAAATTCAAAGATATGTGTGAAGTCAACCCGCACTGAACCAGCGTCTTCACAGCGTCTTGATTATAGCCTAGTCACCTTTAATTTAGGGTAGCTTCCGAGCACCTTAGTGGGCACCTAGTGAGCTGATTATGATTTTTTCTTTAAATCCATAACTTTCTTACAAAACATGTATACTACAATAATTATGGAGAATAAGGTCTAATGATTTTACATTTTTTAGTACCTAAAATAATTTATACGCGCAAGTGGATGAGTGTGTGTGTGTGTGTTGGATGTGTGTACCAATTTGTTAACATTTAATCGCAAAGTAATATTTGAAGCTTAAGTAAAATACCTAAATACGGTCTACTTTTATCTTTTTTTTACCTTACATGTTTTGTTTAATTTATTTTTATCACACTCCCAAAGGTTCTCGATACGTCTGTATTCATTTGTTTGCTGGCTAAGAGACAGTCGTATATATATAGAAAACGATACGGTATCAAAAGCAGTTGATACGACTTGTTAATCGAAGTTTCGTTCGTTCATTTGATATTTACTTAGGCAAAACCTTAGTATAGATTTACAATCGAAAGGGTCACGTCTTTGAGTCCAAGATTAGAACACTACGTGTTATGCAATCCAAACGAAATTTTCGGGGCGGATTTTCACTCACCTTTTCGGCGACCTCGGCATTTTCCCGTTTGACCTCGGCGTGTATAGGCTGAGCGTTGTTCGTGACGATGTCAAGGGCGCCCGCCGCACCCTCCGCACCTCTCTTGCGTCGTCTTAAGAGCTGTTGAAAGCGTTTAGACAATGACGAATTGTCAACTCACTCGGATCATAATCACGACAACACGACGTTCGTCATGTGTTACTGTAGAACTTTAAGGCGGTGACATATTTTATTGTCATCCCTTTCCTTCTATTTGGATAAAACAGAGATAAAAATAGTGTTTTGTTATCACAACTAATGGTACCTTACAAGATATTTATGTAATAGCGGTCATCCACGACTTCGTCAGTAAGGAATAAAAAAACTAACTTATAATATTACGGTGTGCATGAGCTACTTTCTCAACAAAGTCCCGTCAAAATCGTGTCAACGGTTTCGGAGGTTACCCGGTATAAACGCGGACTTATAGACAGAGAGACAAAAAATATTGAAAATTGAATTCTCATTGTAAGTAACGCAAATGTGTTTGCGAAATATGATTTTTTTTTTCGATAATAACATTCCAATATTATTATTTGGATGTAAAGAAACTTACACGATCATTAGTATGTCCGAAAACAACGCAGCAGATTGTCAATAGAATAATGTATAATTTCATTTTATTACAACTACCCAGCATGAAATCAACTACCCACATTTGATATAATAAAATCGATAACAAAATAAAAGTACGAGATTGATTTTAATATTTCATATTACTTTACATATATGTAGGTAATAAAATTGTAAAGCAAAATATAAATAAAAAACAATTGAAACCATTTTATTAGAATTTTTCATAACAGAAAAAAGTTTTCTTTGAAATTATATTGGGAAAACGCAAAATAATATTATTTCGAATTAAAAAAACATGTTTACCCTATTAATCATTTTACTAATTACATTTACATATGGACATCAGACGGTCAGTATTACATCTTACTATAAATAATGAGTCCAAAGTAATTTGTCATTATCATCACCTCACTTTACGTCTTGTCTTTCTTATAAAACAAATATTTTTTCTCTATATAATTTCTCTATATTATCGTTGCTTTATATCTGAATAGCTGTCGCCCGCAACTCCCTCCGCGTGGAATGAAGGAAAACTTAATTAGTTCCGATATATTACTCAAATTTTCTCACCTTTTAAACCTTCCCTAGATCTCCACGAACATTTAAAGACCAAGATAATGTATTATAAATCCGTTCAGCCGTACTCGAGTTTAAGCGAGAGAAACGAACAGCAATTTAAGCAAAAAGCAAATTAATTTTAAGATTTTATTTATCATTTGTTTTTATGTTACCATAAATTCGTTATTTAAATAAAAATAACGAAAGTGGTGTTAACTTGGAGTTTCGCTGAATAGTACAAATTGCCTTTGAATTCTGATTGGTCTTAACAACCCTCCCACCCTCAGACCGTCGTCCCCCGATCACGTCGTTATCTCGCCTTTGACAAATGAAATCTAAGCCGTGGGCAATTAGGCGATCGGTATCAAATGGCACATCTTATAAGGTACTATGAGGTACTTGTTTTTCTCCTTGCTATTGTTTTAAATGCGAATGTTTTAATGTATAGTTGTGTGAATGTTTGTTAGAATGTATCTCCAAAACTGATGTATGGATCTCGCTGAAATATGGCATAGATATAGATTATTAGTCTACAAGAACATAGAAATAAATAAATAGATAATAAATGGTTTATTTAGGCAAGAAAGTTATGATTAAATTACAAACTAGTAGTACGCTTGGTTCCTAAAAGGTCCACGACTCGTATTATAGGAGCCAGGATTCTATCGTCTTCGGCTACTAATTAAGTTTCTTTTAATTCAACGCAGACGGAGTAATGTTTATCATGTTATACAAAAAACCTATCTTCTAGTTGTCACTGCTATAGGAGTACTTTGTCGAAATCAAAAGGAACTAAGTTGTCTGGAATACTTTTATTTCAGAAAATAGACGACGCTGATCTACAATCGGATTATATGCCGCAACAACTTAATGCAGCGTTTGTTTCGAAGGTAATTAAAAGTAGAAATCGGAGAGCAGATTAAAAAAACAATCATTTACTATAAGAAATCTTTTGAGATAATTATCTGATCGAACAAAAAGATGCATTCAGTAGTAGGGTAGTTTTTTCAGTGTATGCATGCTGTAGACTCGGATATGACTGATAGAGATGTATGGAGGAGTAGTACATACTGTGCCGACCCTTGATAGGGATAAGGCCAGGTTGATGATGATGCCCGTTCTATTGTAAATAGCTAAATAGATCGATATAATTTGACAAGACGTATTTCATTCGAATCATATGTAGACCAATAAGGGTATTTGAACCAGTAGACATAAGTCAAACTAAATTTTGACAGCTCACTAGCGCCCCGCTGTCAACGTCAAAAATGTCTCAACATCTCTTTGTACTGTAGCTGTCATGTCATTTTTTCTTTGTCTAAATAGGTTTTATCAATGTCCTGTCAGAACCAACCGCGATAGCAGCGCCTCGCAGCGGTTCAGATGTCCTTATTGACTATTCATATCGTAGAAAATTCGGGCTAGTGGTACGTGTCTATTGGCCCGCGCCAGACGCACGTAAAGGACAATTCGTTTAGTTTATTAATATTGCTTAGTCTTGATTGCGGTAAGGATGATGGACGCAGCGTTATGTAAAATTACACAAAAGAAACTAAAAACTGTTGCGGGCCGTATGGCCAATGGACGCGTACCTATTCTTCTGTTTTCTCGTTGACCTTCGTGTGTGGAATAAGGACATGAATATGATTAATTCTTTTATTTTTAAAGTAATTAAATATTTGCCATTTTCTAGGATGAACCATGGAAAGCTATAATGCCTATGAAACAGGTTGATACAAGTTTAAGTAACGCACTGTCCACTTATACAGCACTGACTATAAAATACTACAGTCGTATGATTGCCTGTGCGGTGTTAGCTCTGTCGTCGATCATAGAGATATCTGTGTATTTAGTTGAATTGTATATAACATAATGAGATGTGACGTCATCAAATAGACCAAAATCCCCGTTTAAAACATATTGTTATATATGTTTTGTCAAAGATTTTGGTCTCAGAAATCAACGGTTAATTATTTGAAGTTTTTATATCACTTACTACGAGTTTCTGACATCAAAATCTCTGTATAAAACATATCGCCATCCTTGTTATCATCTTTTTTATATCATAAGGTGGCAAACGAGCGAGCGGCCACCTAAAATCGCTAAAATAGCGAAGTGACCGTTGCCCTTAGACATACGCAATTGCATATGCGTTGCCTAACTTCAATCGACGAAGGAGAGGATGAAAAGAAAGAAAAAAATATTTTTTTCTTTCCATGCATCCTCTCATCCGAAAAGTCCACTTCCACTTCCCATCCTTTCCTTATAAGAGAAATGGACTAAATTAGGCCTCCGGGACGCACACTCATCAGACGAAACGCAGAATTGCTACCACTTCAAGCCTGTCTTCTGTGTCAATACAGAAATAACAATATGCTTTAAACACGGATTTTGGTCTTAGAATCCGATGTAGTGATGTTTTCCATGTATTATGTTATTTGGCAAGAGTTTATTTATATCTTATGATCATTATATACTCACATATTTACAATGTTTGATTTATTTAACTACATATAAGAACAGAGTATCCTAACTTTTAATATAGTCTTAACTTAACTAAAATTAACGAAGATTATCCTACGTATTCAACATAATAATAAATATGTTATACAAAATATAAAAACGATTTATTATCAGTCAATGATTTTAGACATTACTAGCTGTAGGCCGCGACACCGACCGCGTGTTTGTCGAAAAAATAAAAATTAGGGGTGGACTACCCTTAACATTTAGGGGGATTATAAATAGGTGTTGGCCGATTCTCAGACCTACTCAATATGCTCACAAAATTTCATGAGAATCGGTCAAGTCGTTTCGAAGGAGTATGGGAACGAAAATTGTAACACGAGAATTTTGTATATTAGACTAGCTGTCGCCGGCGACTCCGTCCTCGCGGGATTAAAAATAGATGTTGGCCGATTCTCAGACCTACTCAATATGCTCACAAAATTTCATGAGAATCGGTCAAGCCGTTTCGGAGGAGTACGGGAACGAAAATTGTGACACGAGAATTTTATATGTATGTAAGATTAGTTAGAATCATTTGGCGCGAACGATGTGCTTTCATTGCAAAGTCAAGTGTCAGAATGAATAGTGAGGGGACATAAACATCAACATTTTAGTAAGGCTGGTGTTGGGTCACACTGCCACATTTTCGGATTTTCTTCCTAACAATATTTCAGTACGTGTATTTTAATTTACATTAAATTCATTTCTTTTCAAACAGTAACAGTCATGACTGATTAGATGCCTTTAATAAAACCGTTACGAATTAAATTTGAAGCATGACGCCAGGTGAAGTAATTTTAATTGCTCACCTCAAATCTTACTAATATTATAAATGCGAAAATTTAGATGGATGTTTGTTAGAAGGTATTTCCAGAACGGATGATAATGGCTACTAATTCATCATCATCAGCTCACTATACGTCCCCACTGAAGGGCTCAGAGCCTACCCTAAGTTAATAGTGATTAGGCCATAGTCAACCACGCTGGCCAAATGCGGGTTGGTTGACTGATCTTTGAATTTCTTCTCAGATATATGCAGGTTGCATCACTATGTTTTCCTTCACCGTAGAAGATCGGATAAATGTACATATGTAAACCGTAAATCGAAAAACACATTGGTATATGGCGAAATTCGAACCCATGACCTGCAGATTGCAAGTCAAGTGCTTGACTTAATTTTAATGAAAATTTAGTTAGTTAGAAATTAATAGTTAGAAGGTATCTACAGAATGACTCGACCGATCTCGCTGAAATTTACCACAGATGTAGAAAATAGTCTGGAAGAACACATAGGCTACTAATTAAGTTTTTTAATTCCGCACGGCAGGAATCATGTACGACAACTAGTATGTTATAACAGTGGTAGAGCCCACTTTAACATCTTCGCGCGAATCGGCCCGGCTCGCCCGGTGAAATACCACGACCACACAGAAGACAGACATGAAGTGGAAGCAATTCTGCGTTTCGTCTGATGAGTGTGCGTCCCGGAGGCCTAATTTAGTCATCTTTCCCTTCCCAGCCTTTTTCTTATAAGGAAAGGATGGGAAGAGGAAGTGGACTTTCCGGATGAGAGGATGCATGGAAAGGGAAGATATTTTCTTTCTGTGCATCCTCTCCACCGTCGATTAAAGGTAGGCAACGCATATGCAATTGCGTGTGTCTATGGGCAACGGTCACTTCGCTATTTCAGCGATTTCAGGTGGCCGCTCGCTCGTTTGCCACGTTATAATATAAAAAAAAGCTATGTGTAATATTCTTCCTTTATATTATAAAGTATATAGACCGTTAAAATCCGTTACGAATTATAAAAACCATGGCGACATATTATTAATTTATTGAAGGTATTATTATATTATTAAATTTCGTTACTCTACGATCATGAGTTTGACAATTATTAATTGTCACTTTTGGTAATATGTCTTATAGAAGGTATTTGTGGGACGAATTGAATAGTAATAATGCGAAAGTTTGGATGGATATATATTTTAAGGTTACAACAAAACGGCTCAAAGAATTTAGATGAAATTTTCCACAGATATACTTTACTGTTCTGGGATTATGAATGTCTTTAAAAATAAATAATTATTTAGCTACCAGTTTTCTTATGATTTCAAAAAGGATGAAGCCGCGGGTAAAACCTAGTGTAAAATTAAAAGGGAAGTTCTTAATCTCTGTCTGCTGTCCTGTAGAATACATGTGTGTTTTTTGTTTTAACATTTCCAGTTCTTCTAATACCATAAATTAAATATTTTTTTATCTATGTAAAGAATAATATTATAAGAAACATTTGTTTGCATTGATTAGGCTTCGAAATTACTAAACCAATTTGAAAAATTTATTCACTGTTTTGGAACTGCGCTATCCCCGGATGATATAGCTTGTATTTAGTGCTTGGTTTTTTTTAAATTCCACACGTACGAAGTCAATAGCAACTGTAGGAAATACAAATTATAATACATATTCCTTGTTACGGTTATCAACACCAAATATTAGTTTCAAACGAAGCGTAAACATATTCTTGTTGAAAGAATAAATTTTAATCACTAATACAAGATTTATAACTGGTCTTTACCTTTTTATTACTACAACTAGCTGTTTGCCGCGACTTCGTCTACGCGGAGTTAAAAAATCCCTTTACAAATATAACTTATATCATCCGGGGATTATTAGCTTCTCAATAGTCAAAGAATTATTCAAGTCAGTTTAGTAGCTGCGGAGCAATGAACAAACAAACAACCACATCTTTCTTTATAAGTTTTTTTATAATATTATTATACATAAAGTGATTTGAGCAACATGACGTCACGGAAGTAAAATTGAAGAACAGACGGACGGACAACAAAGTGATCCTATAAGGGTTCTGTTTTTTCTTATGAGGTACGCAACCCTAAAAATCTAGAAAAAACTAACGTGTTATATAGGTATATAGGTAACGATTTTCATATTATGTTTAAGCTTTTTTTTTTACTATTAAAAAGACTTATATGACTTCAGATTACTTAATCTCATTTAAATTTCTTGACTACAAAGAAAAAAGATAATCCGTTTGGATTGATAAAAGCGCCATCTAGGTAAAAAATTAAGAAATTGTTTCAGAGTTTTATCTACAGAGTGTTGCAAATTAATTATTTATAAATGTGATTGTTTAGATGCATGGATGGATATTTGTTTAGCGATATCTCGAAAACGGCTCCTTGGATCCTGATGAAATTTGACATAGATTAAGAACATAGCCTGGAACACATAGGCTAATAAGTTTTTTTTATATCCGCGCAGCCGGAGTTGCGGGCGACAGTTAGTTTCAAATAAATTTAAATATGTACAAACAATAGCAATTCTTATTGCGTTCAGTAAATACGCTTATGAATAAATGGCATTGTACTTTGATGCGGAATAAATCGATTACTTTAATAAACAGGCGTTTGGTATTACAATGTGATTTATGTGAATTAAATTAAACCACGTCCACGGCTGTCGAACTGAGTATGGTATAAAATGCCTTAGAAATCAGAACACTGCGTCACACACGACTACGAAACAGTTATGAATTGGTTTTTGTTTATTTGTCTGATCGTCGCCGTACTCTACCCAATATTGGTAAATATTTTTTTTACTTTTAATTCTATATTCCCTATCTATTTTTCTTTTTTCATTTAAAGTCTTGCATAGATATAACTGGGACTGTAAGACCTACGAGGCTAGACAAAGGTCGCTCCAAACCGACTCCATAGCGAAATTCAAAAATGTAGGTATGAAACCGAAGCGCGACAATCACGTGACATCAAAAGTTATAGTCAATTCTATACATTTTTGAAGTTTGCTCTGGATTTGCTTAAATGCGAATGTACTTTGTCTAGACCCACTGGTCATTTAGCTCTAGATAGGCTCTGAAACCTATCAGTGGGGACGCTGATGATGGTGAACAGAATTAAACGGCATACAGTACCCTTATTGAGCCAGTCATTCTTTATACACTGATTTGGTTTATTGTTTTTAAATTTACTTTTTTATATTAGCATTCGCTCGCAACTTAGTAAAGCTATTGGCCTATGTTTTATTTGATCCAGATCTATTCGCATTTAATACTAGTAAGATTATGTTTTATTATACAGGGTGAGCAGGTAGACCAAATGGGGTATGATTTTACGAGCAAATACGCTGAATTAGCTGCGCCTGCCCCGGCTAATGTGAACGTGGATGAACTTGTGGCGAGTCTACGAGCCGCCAGCAATTTCCCCTAAGCCAACATAACGAAAACAAAAACATCCTGTATACCATCGCTCGAAACAACGTATTATTGAATCGTTATATCCCACTATAGCGCGACAAACTTTTATGGCCCGGTAAGCTGTGGTCGCGATTAGTTCTATTAGAAAACATATAAAACCTACTTGGGTACAAATGACACACAAGTCAAAACGGTACAAGGATCAGGTGACACTTTATTCTAATTAACAAGAGGGTGTTGAGGAGCCATTGTAATTTAGTGTCACTCTACCGGGTCACATAAGTTTGTCGATCTATGTATGAAGATCAAAAGAGACGGTTAAGATCTTGTTTGTGGAATTTCTTTGGAAGTGAAGGCTTTATTTTTTTTAGGTAATTTATTAAAGTATTGAAGCGTGCTGTTGCCAGATATTGTCGAAGTTTTTTTTGTTAACCCCCCTTTATGTTTGTGAAATTCTGATATTGCTTTTTCTTCATATTATGTGCGTTGAAGGAAAAATTAAATAGAGTTTAAAAACTAAGTTATATCGACAATTCATACATACACATACATTTAGGCACTGATTTTTTTTAAATTAACTGCAATAAGTTACTTAAAAACAGAAAAAATATAACATACTTTTCACCGTCAATTTTTAAAATTATAAATACGTGTACATACCAACACAATAATAAAAAAACTTAAAAATCGTTGTGGTATATATTTTATAAATAATTCGGTAATAAAGATCCGTCAGTTCACTAGTCAGTTGAGCCACTTGCGACGTGCTGGATACAGCCTTTCGTAGTTTAGGTTTATATCGGAAGGGTGCGGAGGGATGACGTCACGTCGTGAGTGCCGGCCCAGGGGAATGTAGTCGTAAGGTACCTGCACATTAAAATCTCAAAAATAAAACATAAGCCTACAAATAACTGAAAATCTATAAACATCTTTCTGTCTTTTTATATCTTTATGTAAAGTTGGCATGACAAATTTTAGAAATAATTTAAATATAAACAAAGCAAAGTAATAGAAAATACAAATCATTTAAAGAATATCTCATTTTTTAAAATCACTATATTTTTGTAATAGGACGAAATTTTATAATATCAAAAACATTATTTTAAAAAATAGTTACAACATTATAAAACCAATAGCTGTCGCCCGCGACTCCGTCTGCATCAACTAAAAACTTAATAAGTAGCCTATGAGTTCTTTCAGACTATGTTATACATCTATGACAAATTTCAGCGAGATCCATACAGCCGTACTGGAGATACCTTTTAATAAACATCCATCTAAACATTCTCATCTATATAAAAGAAAGTCGTGTTAGTCACACTATTTATAACTCAAGAACGGCTTTGCCGATATGGCTGGATATTGGTGAGGAGGTAGCTTAGATCCAGGAGACGGACATAGGATACTATTTATTCATTTTTTTTCGAATTTATGCCTTGAAGAGCTGCTATTTATTTAAATTACTAATATTATAAATGCGAATGTTTAGATGGATGGGTGTTTGAAGATATCGCTAGAACGGCTGAACGAATCTCGATTAAATTTGGCATAGTCTGAAAGAACACATAGGCCACACTAATTATTTTTTATACACATCCACACGGACGGAGTCTCTCACGCTCTAGCTAGTTAGTTTATAATATTGAAAGAAATCTCACCTGTGCCATAACGTTAGCTATGAAGAAAAAAAACAAGCAAAAGTAAAATTTCATTTTAATTAAAACCTAGCTGTAACTGCAACGGACGCCCGGAATTAATTAAAGAGTCTTAAAACGGATTCTAGATAATTGCATCACGAAATTTTCAAACATTCTGTGCACATCGAATCGATTACATTCCAATGAAAATCGAATCATGAGTTTATAAAACCATTATTTATTTTTTTAGATTAGATAATGTAATTCATTAATTCTATATACAATTGGCATGTCTTTTTTGTATTTGAAATTACTAAATAATTTAAGATAAAATGTAAAACGTATGTACAATCCAAAGCGATATAAAATACGTTATGTTCGTAATAAACTTTGTCGCATATAAATGAAGGAATATGATAAAATATTTTACGTTAACCAAATGTATTTTTTCTCAAGGTAAAAATATACTTGAACGTTGGATAAAATGAATTTATTCATATTGTTTATATTAACATTTATATGTTACTCTTTAGCTGATGTAAGTAAAATAAAGTTACTTTTTAATTATGAAAAACGTCAATAGCCTAATGGTTAAGGGGGTTCGAATCCCGCCATTCTACTATAGTCGTAAACCATATCCTAGCACAAGCCTAGAGCTTAGTTGGAATGGTAAAAGAAATATTAGTAAATTTACAAAAAAAATCTGCTTATATTTCTTAATAAAAAAAAAGTTAGAAACAAAAAACTCAACTTGTCTGACTGTATAATACCTCTATGACAATCTGGGAAATAATATAATGACATTTCACTCTCGAAAATAGGTCAATCCCTTCTAACCCGGTTAGATTAAATATTGAAATTACCATAATTCGCATAGAGCTGGAAAACAGTAGAAAAAAATCAATGTAACCCATTTTTGGGACCTCTGACGTTGATTTTTTTCCAAATACGGGATCGATAGGGACTTTTCTGGGTTCACAAATACAGTTTTACGAACAATCCTAGCAATATTAGAATTATTGTAGACGGCTGACAGATTGTAGCTGTCGCCCGCGACTCTATCCGTGCGGAATTAAAAAAAAGATAATTAAGTGTTCGTCCAGACTATGTTCTATATTCTGGAGATTTTCAAACAAACATCCATCCATTTGAAAATTCATTTACTATTACATTTATATTACGCATTTATGATCAATAAGATCGTAGCTTTACCCCTCTATTTCACTTAATTTATGTTATTTAATTTTATTTTCAAGTATTAGATGATTTTAAATACAAAATATCATTTCCAGTCACAACATCCAGAAATAAATGATCAATTTGAAACTCGAAGAAATGAACGCGAAATATCAACAGTAAAACATATAAATGAAACTAAAATGAATACAACTCAAGTAACAGAAACAAATTACCAACCAATAATACATATAATTATTAACTTGTACAAAATAATAAGAATACAATTAAAGAGAATATTTTTCGCACCAAAAATTAAATCAGTTCTAAGGAATGTAGGTACTTGTGTAGTTAATGGCGCTATGGAAATTATCTCTTATTATTTTCCAGCTCCAATAATACCTTTAATAACGACCGCAGCTGGTATGGTGATACCATTTGAACCAGTTGTCATGTTAAAACAACGATTACCTGTAGCCAGTTACAGACGGGCTATTACGACAGCCGTTAATACATTTCTTAATACTTTCAATAGTTACAAATTAGATTACGATGATGATCCATACATGACAAGGAGGTTTAATAGAAAATTTAAAGATTTCGATGATAAACCTATTTTGTGAAATAAAATTATTGCTGCTTAAATTGAACATTTTTTTTCGATAGATGTTAGTTTTATTTTGTGTAGATACTAAAATAATTCAAAGTATAATGTCTTAATTTGCGACTTTTATGTTTAAATTATAGTACTTTTCGAATACTTTAGTGGCTCAAATTCATAATGTGCTGTGCTATGCCCTCCTCCTGCATCCCGCTACGCCTTAAATTTAGATCTGCGCTCGCTCGCGCAAAGTTAAGAGCCGCTAAGATATCTGAAAATTACTGTATCTTTAAAATAATTCTTTTATCTTTCCAGTTTGGTAGTTTACTTCAAATATGCATCTCTCTTGGCATCAATAAATTATCCTTGCCTTTTTTCTACTATTAAAAAGAATTGGTCCAGGTATAGCTGGATGGATGAGACGGATAAAAATCTTCGGGAGTTATATGTCCGGGACTGAGTTGGGACGGTGCGGGATGGGGGAAAGATGGAGAGAGTGTCGGAGGCCAAAGTCCACTTTGGATCACTGCGTCACCCTAGTTAGTTTTTTTTCTACTATTTTTATTGGGATTCACTTCATAAGTAACTAAGTTCTTTTAGACATTATTGATTAGAATTATTTGGCACGAATGACGCGCTTTCGTTAAAAAGTCAAGTGTCAGATTGATTAGTGACATAAGCGTTGACATTTTAATAAAGCTAGTGTTGCGCCGATACATCGACGCAGTGTGGAATTTTCTTACTAACAGTTCTTATTGCAAATCGTCTAAAGTTCACCAGTATTTAACGTCATCGTAATCACGCCGAAGAATGGACAAAAGAAGGAAGTAGTAATAACACGTCCTGCTCGACTTTGTCTTAAAATTGGTTTGTAGAAATTTGTTGTTCTTCTTTTTGATCTTCTTGGAGTATTTTTGACAGTAGTTATTTCTTCATTTTCCCTGTCAGTTGAAATGGTCCTACTAGATTTTGTCACTGTTTCAACTTTGGGTATATTTGAGGTTATGTTTCCTTCTTTGATAGACCTGTCAGTCTTTCTTAAGTTTTGTGAAGGTATTTCCATACCTTTCCAGAAATGTCGATAGCCATTGTTATCCATAAATATTCTGTTAGTTTCTACTGTATTACGCCTTTTCAGTATATATTCTTTGAAATAATCCGTCACTAAATGTACAGTCGGTTTCAAAACGGTGTATTCTTCGTCGTTTATGATTATTTGATTAACTTTTTGGAAATCCATGTGATTCGGGAATTGACTCAACGCAGTATTGACCTAGAAATTTATGGAATATAAGCTACAATCGATGGCTACAACGTACAGGAAGACTAAAGAAGGTAAGGATGAATTGGGTGAAATTGGATATGCGTGAAAGGGATTGAATTCAGATATTACGGCTGATAGAGATGTATGGAGTAGTATATACATACTCGAAAACGTGTATATTAGAAGGGATAATTTGTTTATAGTAGTAGGAAGATTTTACTTTTTTTTTCTTTTCAAAAATAATAAAAAATTGAACAATAGAGATGGAATGTAGCATGTGTGTAGAGCACAGAAAAATGATATCTTTTTCCTATCCCCCTTCTCTATTTCACGCCTGTCTTCTGTGCGGTCGAGGTTTGCCAGCTCTATAGTCTTAACTCTACAAAGTTACTTACATGATAGAAAATGCAAAATAAAAACCGAAACGATGTAATATAATACGTCATTTTAATCACTGGTTTAAAATACTACTAGTCAAGAGTTTTATAGTTTATTTTAATTTGTTTTTTAGATAAAGTTAATTGTTTAAGTAAAGAATGATTGCGTTAACGGATTTTATGATTATTAATAGCTACATACTGTGTATGTAGTCAAATAGTACTTCCTACTTTAGCTCTTAATATCCCCGGCGATCCATCACCGGCGACTGAGGGTTGCCTCCCCCCCGAGAGGGAGTCTCGGCAGCTGGCGCAGACGGGGCCGCGGACTAGAGCGAAAGCGTGCCCGTCGTCCCGTCCCGATGCGTTGGAGGAACAGAAAAGTTTAGTGGGTAAGCCTCCGCTATGGAGGCGAATCCCACATAACTACCGCGTTCCCCCCCGGGGTGCGGGGTATGCATAAAGCATTCCTCTATGGAAAATAAAAGCTCTTAATATCCCATATCCATTATTAACAGTCGCCAAAACATCTCTAAGCACCTGTCAAAATATCGTGAATGGAGTGGAGAAAAAAAAAAGAATTTGACAACTAGTTTTTTTTATTGTTGAGTCGATTATTTTCAATACAGATAAATACAGCCATGTGATTTTTTAACGAAACATACAACGTTCATACAAAGTTGGCAAATAAATGAACACGATTTGTAATGATACATTCGTTCCTTTAAATGTATACATTCGCTCCTCTAAATGTATGCATTTGTTCCTCTAAATGTATACATTCGTTCCTCTAAATGTATACATTCGCTCCTCTAAATGTATACATTCCTTTTTCTAATTGTATACAGCCTAAGGATTACAAGCTATTATGTTAGTTATTATATAAAATGTCAATTTTGACTAGTCATCTGGTGGATATGTAATTAATACCAATAAAAAGATTTATATACATCTAGATACTCTGTCTCTGTCTATTCAAAGAGAGTGAAAGGGATGTCAATATTATTTTAACTTGTGTTGAACTAATTTTATTAATATTTACGTGAGTTTTCATTTTATATTTGAAGTAAATGGAGACTTTATGACGTCATTTAAACCCCATATGTATCTAGAGATATAACATCTTCCTTGGTATTTGGTTTGTGTTTTGAACCTTATATAAATGTGATTAAATCAAAATATTATTGTTTTCAAAAATCAATGTGTAATTAAGCAAATGAAAATTACAGACTAGATATTTATATGACCTAAATACTCAGTCAAGTATATAAAGCACGTATGAGAAATGTTTAATTTTAGTTGCACTAAGAAAATATTAACGTGAGTTTCCACTGGCGATACATCCAAACAAAAAAGTTTTCAGTTTTTTCAAAACTTTTTTGTGTGAATGTTTCGGTAATGAAAATCTTATAACTATAAAACGAAATTATAAAAATACAGAGTCAAATCGATTTCTATAAAGAAAAAATTCATAACTAGTTCTCTAACTATAATTTTTTTATTAATTTAGTTCTTTAAGTTTAAAAATCACGAAGCGGAAGAACTTTATTATACGGCCCCCTCCAAAAAAAAAATCAATTATTTACAATATTATTCAAAATTTACGCTAAATATATTGCAAAGTCATAAGTCAAAGTGTCAAAACTTTTGTGTCATAAACACGTAAATATGAAAAAATATATTCTATTTAAAACGCTATATTTAAGTCAATATTTAAAGACAGCACATTTTATATGAAAATATAAGTGTTATTCATTATTATATTTACAAAGCTAAATTTAATATTAGTGAGTAGAAATAGAATACTGATAAAGAAAAAAAAGAACAAAATCACTCGAAACAAAAATCAAACAACTCATTAATTAGTTGTGAAAATATTTTTTTTAAATTTTAAATTGAGATAATTTAATTGTCATAAAAACGGTTCAAATTAACTTATACTATAACACAAAATGGTTGCTACAGACCGACATACTGACCCGGTGAGCATAACGCGATTAATTCCCCGATACTTTCATCGTACGCTTAATAGGGAGAAAAAATTTAACCTAAGGTGGCGCCAGTAGCAGCATTTGGTCGCCTGTCAAAGTTCTTTTACAAAATCTATAAAACCTACTTAGGCACAAAAAAAACGCCATAAAATAAAATACTAGAATTTCGTGACCATTTTGGGCCTGGCAAGTATTCGAACGAATAATAGCAACTTTTGTACAGATTACAATAGGCTCTCTATATCAAAGATATTACAAGATGCTTGTCGTACTGTAGCTGTTTTGTCATGATTTTTCTTTTACGTCATTTTCTATGCATATGTCACCGGGCCAAATAATGTCGCTCTATAACTTTTTAAAACTGACACGCTGCCAAATTGACATATCACACAAATGAATCGTGTCACATGACATTTACGATATCAATGAATTGTGACATTTGTCATTGTTATGACATGACAAAGATGACAACGCATATCTGGAAGTATTTACAGTTACATTAGAATTAGTCTAATTAGTTGATGACTAAAGTTTACAAGGTAGTTTATCTGTGAAGCCTTTATTAATTATATTTAAAAGAATTACATATTATTGTTGTGCTCTAATTTAGAAACATATTGCGAACGAAGATTTAAATATATAGACATACTGTCATAAAATATTACAGTGTTAAATGCATTCCTAACATTACCCTAGAATTCAACTGTCGTGACATCTCAGATGAATACCGTAATAATATAAGCCCCACGACAATCTGATTTTAAGATTAATTTGAAATATTTATATTTTGAATATTTTGAAGCCTTGAACATGTCACATGGACAGTCGAAACATATAAGACTTTTATTAACTTTAAAAATTTCTTTATCATTTGTCATACTAAAAATAGATTTATATGACAGTCAAGATTATATACTATTTAAATCTTTGTTCGTTACAATTAAAACTATAAGTCCAGTATAAGTTAAAACTTATGTTAAAATTACATAATCGAGTAACTATACAAACCGAGTGTATACAATATGAGTGTATACAACGCGTAAAATATACAAATTGTCTAATGTATAAATAACACGTATGAGGCAACAAACTTTAGACATAGAAATTGCAGGCACATGTCTTGTTTAGGAACGGTAAGATTTATTGCTTTAGGTTTAAATATGTTTTTATTGTTTGGTTATATCAAAGAATTACTGATAAATAGTTCTTGTAACTTTGGGTTTTCGACTGACACTTTGTTCTCATGAAAATATGTGTTATCACTCCAGATGAAACCCATGGTTAGATGTTATAAATTTTGTAAACATAAGCAACCAAATTAGAAAAACAACAAATTTTAAATGTCATAGAGTTCTCAGTTTTGGCTGCGTGTGTTGACTTTAATCAATGCAATTTACAATACTCTTTTGTTCCCTAAATTGCGAGTTATACACGATACAGTAACGTATTTTTATTAATTAGTAAAAATCTAAGTGTAAAAAGAATAAAATATTATGTTTCATCCGAATGCAAACTTCTAAGAATTAGTTTACAAAATTTATAATATCTCTTGATTAGAACTATACTTTTTAATTTTATTTATGTATTTTTTTAACCATAGTTCAGTGATATTTGATAAACATAGTCAATTGCAAACAGAAATTTGTTTATATTTGTTGCAGTATAGAAAATTAGACTAAAGCCTTATTCATTTAAAACGAACAGTCGATTTTAATTTAAACATAAATAATGTTTTATTCTAGCATTTATTTTGAATTTTAGAACCGAATTCGTGTAATATATCACAAGCCATTTCTAAATCGTTCCTAGTAATGCCCAATGCGCGCACGACTATGTCCTTGGGGTAACCTTCACCAACTAAACGCGCGATGTAATCCAAATTTATATTTTCATACGATACATTGTCGCCGTACTTTCTTCCGTGTTTGTCGTGTGTTAGAGGATTTATTTTCTTTGCTGGAAAATAAAATAATTTATATTTATGTAGTATAGAGTGTATACAATATGAGTGTATACAACACGTAAAATATACAAATAGTGTGAAAAATTTAATATTTTGTCACTATTTGAAATTTATTATGATTTTTATGTTTTAAATATGTAAAAAACTTACGTGCAACCGCTAATTCGTTCTTTTCAACGCTGACATTCTCGTAGGGCGGATCTTTGGCATCTTCTGAAGGGAATTTGGGCATAGTCGTTGACTTCGTCGGCTGGTGGTCGATACTGCTGCAGGTAGAAGATGGCAAAGACCTTTGTCTTGGTGGACCTCTACTCTCCACTCTGGTGTTATCAAAACTAGCTCGATCAGTATTTTGTATTCTGTCCTGTCTGTCAGGCTTGTCGGGAGGTCGTTCTGGCGGCTGTCTAAACTCTATGTGCCTGTCATTTGTCACGTGACGTTCGTTGACGTGACGTTCACGCTCGTTGACGTGACGTTCCGCTTGTCTATTATCTATGTGCCTATCATTCGGTCTGTCCTGTCTGCTTTCATATGCGTGTCGGTTCGTGTCATTGTGTCTTTCTTGTCGGTTCTCGGTCGGTATGTTTCGTGTTTCAGGTTTGTCGTGTCTGTCGGTTGTCGGTCTGTCGTCGGTCTGTGTGCGCGGTTCCGGCGGCGGCGCGGGCAGGGGCCGGCTGTTGGACTGCGGGGTGCAGGCACGACGAGGTTTCTCGAATGCCCTCGGATCTGGAGGTACCTGTAATTCATTTTAATACGAGACATATTAGATTTTTAATCTGTATTTCAAAGTATAAAGTGTTGGATTGTATTGAAGTCTACATACCTCGTGTCTTGTATCTATAAGGCCTGTGATTGTCTCAGTAGAGCCAGTAATCACTGAGGTCAGATGATGACGTGAATCAGGTTCAGGCTCCAAAGAGGACCTTCGTCTGGGTTCTGAGGATAATGAAACATAATTTTAATGGGTTGTATAAATCTTTACAAATATCTTGGAGGATCAAGGTAATCGGCGCACCCAAGATATTTGAAAACATTTATAGTATAATGACTCGTAGATAACGTTTGCTAAATACAGGCTTGCAAAATGTAGCTTAGATCATTCGCTGATAGAAAAGCTACCTGTGATATTTTATATGATTAAGAATACATATTTTACGTAGTATGCCATATGTTCTAGATAAAATGACCGGATTATGCTGCTTGGTCTCAACTGAGGACCGTGGCTCTGGGCGGAATGAACAACTCGTGACCTTAGTAAGTCCTAGTAACCGTAAGTATTATTAAACTTAACTTATTAAGTCAAATAAACTAATCTTACTACTATTATAAATGCGAATGTTTGGATGGATGGATGTTTATTTGAAGCTATCTCCGAAACGGCTCTACACATTTTGATGAAATTTGGCAAAGATGTAAAACATAGTCTGGAAGAACACATAGGTTTTACTCACCTAGTTTTTTTTTTAACTTCGCGCGGACGGAGTGGCGGGAGACAGCTAGTCTTATATATGTTCAGATGTATAAATATTTATTTTAATACTCATAAAATACCATACCCATAGCAGCCGCTGCAGCAATATCCTGCACACTGGAGGCCGCGACGATCGCGGGTTCGGCAGGGGAGAGACTCTTCCTGGGCGGCAGGGGAGGGGCGCGCAGTTCTCCGTACGCGTTCTCAGCCGAGGCGGCGGCTTTCCTTGCTGCACGAGGCGAGTGTCGCGGCGAGGCGACCGGCGACCTCACGCCCGGCCTCAGCGAGTCTATTGTGGACGTCGCCGCGTTGAACTCCGGCCAGTCCTAATGTTATAACTATGTGATAACGACTAATCTGACGAAAAAGGTTACATCTGTAAAGTGACCTTGAGATGTAACCTTTTTCGTCAGATTAGTCGATATATGAGAAATATAAGTTTGCAATACTTTTAGTCAAACAAGATGTTGTCTTCTCTTTCTTTCTATTAGAAAGAATGGAGACAAACTATGTGTTGTATCTTTCGGCGGTCGAAAACAACAGAAACCTAAGGTAAGTTGCATATAACCGTTTTTTATATAAAACTTTCTAACAAGATCTTCAGACAAATAAAATACGTTTTTCCTAATATTAGGTAGATTTTCCACAATTCAAAAATTAGTGCGTATTTTTTTCATAGTTGTAATAATTATGTTTTTTTATTTAATATATTGAAACCCATTATTAAAAAAAAACAAAATGCAATAAAAAACACAAACACATCACCAAGCGTATATTGTCAACATTAAAAAAATTACACTTAAAAAATAAATAAAATTAAATGTAATAAAATATTAAATATAAAGAAATATTCCACTAATCTTAATCTAAACAAACAATACTAAATTAAATAATACATTTTAAATTAAATAAAAAAAATCGATTAATTAATTTTAAATCTGAATAAAATCAAAATTAAATCGCACCAAAATTAAAAATTCATTAAATTAAATTGTATAATTAAAATTCATTTTTAAATCAAAGCTTATTTTTATATAAATTAAACAATTAATTATATTTACATTTATTTTATATCAAATAAAGACCGTAAAAGGTCATAAGTACCAAAATTATTTAACAATAAGAAAATATGACAAAATGGAAAAGGTTCAGCAATACGAATAAAAAAATCACAACAAAAAAAATTACGAAATTACGAATAGCTTATAGAAATCTAAAACTGAAATTTCGTATTAACGTACAACTTTCAAGACAGACTAAGACAGAGAGCAGAGAAGATTTTTTATCTTACTAATATTATAAATGCGAATGTTTAGATGGATGGATGGATTGGAAGGTATCTCCAGAATAACTTAACAGATCTCGATGAAATTTGGCATACATATAGAACATAGTTTGGAAGAACACACAGGCTACTTATTTTTTTTAAACCGCGCGGAGTCGCGACAGCTAGTCGCAAATAAAAATGAACTTTATAATATTGTAATAAGGTCTAAATTTGCTATGCAAGTCTTTTTATCAATATTCAGAGTAAAATAGACGTGGAAATTAAAATTAAACCTAATTCCAATCGTATAAAGCTCAATTTTATTTGTCATATATTTACTATGCTCTCCACCTCGGTCTGCTCTCTTTATAAAGACAATCGGATAAAAAAACTGAATATTGCTGGTCCCTCAAATGTCGTTTTAATCGGATTTGTAAATGCTATGATATTTTAAAGCACTAATATATCTAATTTTATTTTTTAAAATCTATCGTTTCGTAAAGCAAAAATACTAATTAGCAGTCTTAATAAATATTTACTAAAAAAAAAAAATATAATTCGGGACACGAAAGTAGAACGATGAATTCAAAGAAATAAATTCATTTTATTACCAAGTTTATGTCATTTACCGTAAGTTTCTGACGTCAAAACGTCACATTTAAAACATATTGTTATGTTATATGGATTTTGGTCTCGGAAACCCACTGTTAGTGTTTTTTGTTGTTCAACTTTCATATCTCGAACTATTAATACTAAAAACAATAATTAAAAAAAGATTTTTAAATTCATGCATCAGAATTCAAGCGTTTTTTTGAGTCGTCTGAAGATAGTGTTTAATTTTTTTATAGCAACCACATATTTTTTTGAATAAGCATGCACATGACCACGACCCTATCTGTTAACGGAACGTGCAGAAAAGTCATTTCCCCTTGCTATCCCCTACCCTTCCTTATCCTCTCCTTATTAGATTGGGAAAGAAAATATTTCAGACGACTCAAATATAACCATAACGCAAGCAAACAAAATTAAACAACATGAAAGTGTCACAAACGTACAAAGCATTTATCTTAGATTTTTTAAAATAAATATCAACTTTATTACTAATTATAATAAAGTTCAAATTTCTATTTGCATTGTTTTATTTCAATTACAACATAATATAGATATAAATTATATAACATATACTCATTTTGGTATTGAAAATTTATAATTTTAAAGGGAAATAAATTGTCACCAATTTCCAATAAAATTCAAAACCACTAATTTCCCAAATTTGTGAATAACAAAGTACAAGACAAAAGTTACTGAATGAAAGAAAAACGGAATAGTCTTTAGAGGAAAATCAACATCATCAGCTCACTATACGTCCCCACCGAGGGGCTCGGAGCCTACCCTAAGTTAAGGGTGATTAGGCCAATCAACATATAAACAGTATAAAAAATCTTCCAAAAACCAAAATGAGAATTAGTCATTATAAATGTATATCAAAAGAAGTATTCCAAAAGATTCACTGGTATTTTGTTTATAATTCCATTATTTCAATTTACTACTCGTACGCAAAAACATGATACGAGATGCAATGACGTCATCATACAGGTACAGTATACAAAATCTACATCGTCATATTATCTCTGTCAGTATATTTATTTAATAATATTCCAAAACTCTTCAAGGAATACTGCTTTTGATTTACAAAACACAAATATTAAAAACTAAATGGAATAGTGTTGGTTTCCTCTGCACTGACACTTGTCTCTTTTTAATTTAAAGAGAATGTAAGAGACAACAATATATGTCAATCAAAGACATTTAAATTTTAAGATGAGACATCGTCAAGTAAACTTTTCAATCTAAATATTGGTTCTATCCCAATAGTCAAGTATGTCACGGGGTTACGGATTTAGGTCATTGTTGTATTGTATGTTATTTTTTTTTTATATCATAAGGTGGCAAACGAGCGAGCGACCACATGAAATCGCTGAAATGGCGAAGTGACCGTTGCTCATAGACATACGCAATTGCATATGCGTTGCCTACCTTTAATCGATTGAGGAGAGGATGCACAGAAAGAAAATATATTCCCTTTCCATGCATCTTTTCATCCGGAAAGTCCACTTCCACTTCCCATCCTTTCCTTATAAGAAAAAGGGTGGAAAGAGAAAGAGGACTAAATTAGGCCTCCGGGACGCACACACATCAGACGAAACGCGGAATTGCTTTCACTTGACGCCTGTCTTCTGTGTGGTCGTGGTATTTCACCGGGCGAGCCGGGCCAATACGTGCGAAGATGTTAAAGCGGGCTCTACCACTGTTATATTCTTTCCAAATAATATAATTCAGATTTTGTACTTTTAAGTTACAATTTTTATTACTTTTAAGTCACGGAAAGGAAGCTTTATGTCCCATCTACAAGTAATATTACAATCTTATTATCAAAACAAGTATCAATGCAGTGGAAACGCACATTAAGATTCCCGAATGTAGTAAAGACGAGACAATTCAGTCCGTACAAAGTTAAGCATGCGGTGATTTTCTCGCGCGTCTCTGCAAAACAAATAATGATATATTACTGTGAGATGTTATGCGATGCTAAACCGGAACTGTACTGTGTCTTGGTCATAGTTTAAAAACAAAAAAAAAACACGCACACGCAAACCTCAATTAAAAAAATATTTTTTTAAACAAACAATTTTTTTAAAATCTCTTGTATACAACATATCGTCATCCCTTTCATTATCTTTGACAACACAGAAATAACGATATGTTTTAAACGTTTTTGGTTTCAGAAACCCACGGTTAGTTTAGAACAAATCTTTATTCATAACCCAGAACTAACAGAAATGACTTTAAATATTTTATGATACTATTCGAATCTACGCAATTGTCAGTTAAAATAAGACATTTGTAGTTAAAATCCCATTTAATTAACAATAACAAACACAAATTCATAAATAGATCAAACAGGGGGTGAGTTTTATGTAAAGAATTAAAAAAAAGTTACTACACAGACACAGTAAGTCCCGATAAAATGTTATTAACACGAAACATTGCAACAATGAAAACACCCAAACAACACAAACATGCCCACACAATCAAAAATGCAAAGCATGCTGCTACATAACACAAAAAACAGCTGTATTTTAACCCAAAATAAGCCACGAAACTCAATAAATAAAAAAAAATATTATTTATCAGACTTATTTTTTTGTGTCCCAAAAATCTTCGTCAAAATATAATTCACACAAGAATTTCTTCTCACTATTATTATTGCGCTTAAGAAACACTCTGGCAACTTTTTACGCCAAAAGATGGCGTTATTACCAATCATATTGAAGTGACATATAGATGGCGCTATAATCATTAAAATTATTTTTTTAAATTAGATTTATTTATCTCTTTAGAATAACCTTAAAGGCAAATAGTTAACGACATTTAGCTAAGAATTCGGTGAAAATATCCAGAAAATAATAAAACAGCTTAAAACCCGTATTTCTACTTACACAATTTTATTTTGAAGATTTTTAAATATGTTCTTAATCTTACTAACATTATAAATGCGAATGTTTAGATGGATGTTTGTATAAAGATATCTCCAAAACGGATGTATGGATCTCACTGAAATTTGGCATAAATATAGAATACAGTCTGGAGGAACACATGGGTCACTTATTAAGTTTTTTTTTCGATTAGTAAGTACATAAAAGTGAATAAACTTACCTCTGGATCATCAATATCATCAGTGAGACCATTGAATGTGTTCCGCGACGTCCAGCCATTCGCACCACTCGATATTGTGTTGTCTGAACCTATAAGTAAATATAAAAGGGACCATATATAAATACGTCACAGGAATTTCATCATTTTTGTCCCCTACCCTGTCTTTTACTGGTCACATTTGTTACACCCCCCACCACATCTAGTTTCATGTCACAAATTTAATAAAAAAAGACAAAGCGCAATGTGTGATATCTCTTTCTTCATGAAGTGTTACAAAATTAATGTATGGACCCAAATACATCCATTGTATTTCTTCTCAAATACGTGTATATCACGACGTTTTCCTTCACCGTAAGAACGTCGGATAATTGTACATATGTAAATCGGAAATCGAAAAAACACATTGGTACATGGCGGGTTTCGAACCCACGGCCAGCTGACAAGTCAAGTGTTTAACCACTGAGCCACCGACCCTCTTAATATGACCTCTAAATTAATCCAATTATTAGATGTATGAATGTTGTGTGTATGTATGATAATGAAGAAGAATGAAATGTCCTTGAAAGAAGTAAGTCTTCTACAAGTTAAAATGTGTTTTATGTCTGTTTCAAAGTGTATTTAAGTGTGTTTTAAGTGTGTACTTGGTATACTTACTGGAACCATTACAGCCTGAGGAACCTGAAGATCCCGAGGAATTTGATGACACTGGCTTCACTGGAGTCTTCACTATCGCACCTCTGAAACAAATAATTGTTAAATTCTTCTCTTGAACACTAGATATAGAACATAGTCTGGAGGAACACATTGACTACTAATCAAATTTTTTTATTAATACGAGCGGACAGAGTCTAGGGCAAAAGCTAGTATATTAATACAAAAGTCAGGGCAATCAGATTCTAAAGTTATGACCACATAATAAGTACAGTCATGTAAATTCGCGGTGCACCATTTACAAATAGGATAATAGTGTAACATACATTACACATCCAAACATTATTATACATCCAAACATTAGCCTCTATAATATTAGTAATACTTACTTAGCTTCAGATGTTGTATTTGGTGGTCTCGGGGGCACGAAGGCGTCGACCACCACTTGCTCGGTGCCTTTTATTTCCGCACGACAGAACGGACATCCTTGACCTTCCGAGTCCTAGGAATAAAACGCTGTTAAGACAAGATGCTAAGACAATATTTTAGGCAGGGTAGAGTCTAGATATTTTTAACTCACGATCTGCCAGGCGGTGAGACACGGCGTACACAGCAGGTGACCACACGGCTCTATCCTGATATCCTTGTCGTTCTCCGCACATATCTTACACAGTTGGAATGTGCTGCCTGAAAAAAATTAGGACAGAGAATGAACGAGGTGTTTAAGATAGTATGTAAAAATGACACAGAAAAAATACCAGTAAAATTTTTAACAGTGATAGTTTAGATAGATGGGAAGGGGAAGTTTGACGGAGGAGGGGACGCATTGGGAATGGAAATATTATCTTCCTTTGCTTTCGTCGATTAAAGGTAGGCAATGCATCTGTGATTGCGAATGTCCATGGGCACTAGTTGCTATTTTGGGCGATTCCAGGTTTCTGTTAGTTCGGTTGCCACCTAATGATATAAAAAATTCAATGTAATTTTAGACATTATTAGTCAGAATCCTTTGACGCGAATGGCGCGCTTTCGTTACAAAGTGTCAAAATGATTAGTGAGGGCAGATAAACGTTGACATTTTAGTAAGGCTAGTTGTTGCAATACACCGGCACAGTGTCGGATTTTTCTTCCTTACAGTAATTCTAAGTGAGTTCAGAATACATACCCATTTCACAATACAATTCGTATTGTTCCTGTGTGACCGTGATGTGATCCTCCGCTGGGGATATGATAGCACTGCTCAGGTCCGGGTTCACATCCCGACCATCCGGGTACAAGTAACTGTAACAAAAACCACTATAGTAACATCATTTTTGACTTCAATTGTCAATATTCATGTATTTTCTTCCAACTTAACGAATTTAAACATAACCTTGAAATAGAATGCTATTAAAAATAGACACATCATTAGAAAAAAAAACGAAACTTGACTGTTATATAGTGTTTAATGCGTTATTGTTACATTAAAAGTTTGACGGTGTAAAAGACGTTCAAACGAATATATCTTAAGTGTAACACCGCCATCAGTTCAGACTGTACATTTCCTCAACTGCCCTCTAAAAATGGACTGGCTGTATTTTGTGCCCATTTGATTTTCGCCATTTTGGCGCTGATGGTAGCGGTTTGTTGCGGTGATGTGGATTTGAACTAATAATACAAATAAAATTAACTTTCATGTAACATTAATAGGCGCGTTCAAATCGGAACGAAGCAAAAGCTGTCATTTTCAAGCAATCGCCTATCTATATATAGAGATCCGTGATTTCCCCTCATTGCGTTGCTTCGGAAATATACAGTAAATGGCAAATTAAGCAAACAAATCTTTAGAAAAAAATAAAAAGTTGCGGAAATTAAACTCACAATCCCTCTCTATATCCATCAAGTAGGGCCTGCACTAGACTCTTGTTCTGTGGTATGGTCTGCAAAATCTCACCGTCTGCCGTCACATATCCTATTGCCCATTGTCCTAAACGGGTACACGACAATCTGCAAAAGAATCATAAAGGTAAGTTTCCACTAACGAAACTTACAAAGTTATATATTGTAAAAACGCGAATTTGGAACTGTCCACTGCTGGACATAAGCCTCTCCCATGGCACGCCGCTGAGCACGATCCTCAGCCACTCTCATCCAGCTCTTGCCAACTGCCCTGCGAAGATCATCGCTCTACCGAGTCTGAGGACGTCCTACACTACGTTTGCCGACCTGTGGTCTCCACTCAATTTTTGTCTGTCTATCCGCAAATCCGCCTTTGTTGTGGATGGTATTATGGGTGGTATTATGTACGCAGAATAGAAACGCTAAGTTACTCCAACTTAGCGTTTCTATTCTGCGCTGACAAAGTCGCATACGACCGCTGGTTAATCTCACAATTTCTACATAACAAGATTCTTTACAACAATACTAGCTGTCGCCCGCGACTCCGGCCGCGCGGGATTAAAAATAGATGTTGGCCGATTCTCAGACCTACTCAATATGCTCACAAAATTTCATGAGAATCGGTCAAGCCGTTTCGGAGGAGTATGGGAACGAAAATTGTGACACGAGAATTTTATATATAAGATAAAATAAAACGAATTTTTTGCTTCTCTAGATTTCTTCACAGACACATACTCGCAGGATACATAAAATCAAACATATAATACTAAGAAAAAACTTACCTGAACACATAACTGCCAGTCTTGTGAATATATTTTTGTAGGCGAGCCTTAACCTCGTCGTATGTCAGGAACGCTACATATCCTGGATGGGTGACCGCTAACAGCTGCCAGTTCCGTAACAACGTGCTCCAAGGCTGGAATAACCTGGAATTTTAGTAAATCAATAACTAAAAAACTTTCAAGGTCATGTCATATATGGGTTTTCGTTACAAGAATGAGAAGGAAGATCTAACGAAAGGAAAACAAAGAGTGTTTTAAATTGTATGCATGAATAAACATTTGGTCCTGGAAGCCTAATTTTAGTCCTCTTTCCCTTCTCGACCTTCTCTTGTAAGGAAATGATGAAAAGGCGAAGTGTATTTGACGGAGGAGAGGACGCAAAGGAAGGGGAATTATTATCTTTCGGTGCGTCATCTCCTCTGTCGATTAAAGGTAGGCAACGCATCTGTAATCGCGCACGTATATGAGCAGCGGTCACTTCGCTATTACAGCGAACCTAGTTGACCACTCGATCGTTTGCCATCTAATAATAAAAAAGATAAACAATTTAATATGTTAGAATTATGTAGTTTCAGTAATGAAAGATAAAATTAATATTTATATTGTAAAATTCATAGATTCAAAGTAATAGGAAAATGAAGACTTAAGTAGGTAATAGAAGTGTACACATGGTAAATTTATTTAATAGATCAATTACAAGGCATCGTATCTTAAGTGGTCGAGGCACTTTATCGAAGGGACATAAGTTAACAAGACGGCACTTGAGGGGGCAATTGCTTTTAGTGTCCACTTTGTTGATAGCTAATGTCTTACAGTAGGCTTACACTGTCGAAACACTCATATAAAAATATATTACCAACATATTTTTTTAATATAAAAACTAGTGTTGGACTTATTTAAATTAATCTTAAAAAAATATGTTTTTGACCATTTTTCCACAGTAAACAAACTTTAAGAATTAGCAAAATCAACCTAACTAATAATATAAATGCGAATGTTTGGATGAATTAAATGTTAGAAGGTTTCTCCAGAACAGCTGCATGGATCTCGAGGAAATTTGGCATTAGATATAGAACATAGTTTCTAGTCATTTGCTTTTCTATATTTTTATGCTGTTGTGTTTTATTTTATTTTTATTGAACATATATGGTATGGAAGAATACATAGGCTATTTATTAAGTCGCGGGCACTAATTATTCAACAAATAAATTATAAAAATAACAAGAGAAATTTCAAAGCTTTTATAAACATGATATAAAGGTATTAAGTTGAAGTGGAGAAGTTTTTTAGAATTGTTTAATCTCAAAGGCCGGCAACGCATCAGCGGTTCCTCTGGTATTGCTCATGTCCTTGGGCGTCGTTGAACACCTCGGTGTTACCGCTGTATGTTTGCCCCCTTCTGTTATAAAATAAAAATAGTATCTTACCTTGTAAATACATCAAACTCAAAGTTAGATATGAAATCATTGCAAGTCAAGTCTATCGTTGTCTTGAGCGCCATCGTCTCCAGGCCCGAGGATATCGGGTGCACGTTGTTCAACTCCTCACGGAAATGTTTCCACGGCACCAACGTACTGAAAATTATAAAGAAAATTGTTAGACCAATAGAACACATTATAACATGCTAAACGCGAAACCTGCGTTCATTTCAGCCCCTTGTAGGGCCCGTGTGATCTCATGAAGTTATTTTATAATATCTTTGGAACCCAGCTTCTGATTGAACCCTAAACTAGATATATTTTGAAGATTCGACATTACGCATCTATTTACAGCAAAACGTTTTTTTCTATATCTACTATGGTGTTTAACGTGTTAAGGACCAAAAGGTTAACATGGCATAGGTAATAAAGGTAAGATAATCTTAATAAGAAGGAGTAGTACTCGGGTTGATCTGAGCGCAGCGCAGCAACCCCTTCCCTACATCTCTTTACGTCCCGTTGTATATATCATTGCGTTCTACGCAGTTTCTTCGCAGGCCAGCGAGAGAGAAGTCAAATATGACAACTTCTAAAAGAAAATGAATTTCAATCTAAAAGTACAGTCGCAAGTTCGCTTGTCGAGTTACAAGTTACAAAAAATCTCTTAAGACAAAAACAGATTATTCGTGTTTTGATGTAAGACGTATCATCGCATTTTGTACTAAATCTTTTGTACCTGATTTTATCATCTGTCTAATACTAGCGGTTGCCCGCAACTCAAATTAAAAAAAAAAAAAAATTAATAGCCTTAGTGTTCTTCCAAACTATGTTCTATTCCTTGTCAAATTCCAATCCGTTGGCTCTTCTAGTGACACCTTCAAACATTCATCTATCTAATCATTCGCATTAATAAGTAAGAAGTAAAGATTATAAGGTTCGATTTTAAGCCAACATTTGAAGTTAACTAGCAATTTTTAGTGCATTTATAATTTTTTTTAAATATCTATTTTGTTATACTATAATAAACATTATATTTATCAAAGTGAACATGTCAAAACTTTTCCCAGTACGTATAAGTATACCACACAACGGATATAGCTGCACTCGAGATAAAATCGGATATGATACGATACGACACGATACTAATACGATACGATAAGATTCGTTAAAGGATATCCGGATTTAACTGACGATTGTTTTACTAAAGCCGCTACTATCAGAGATATTTACGATTGGAATATCAGATATATTTTATAAACCAAACTAGCTGTCGCCTGCGACTCCGTCCGCGCGGAATAAAAAGCAACTAGTAGCCTATGTGTTCTCCCAGACTATGTTCTATATGTATGCCAAATTTAATATCGATTCGTTCAGCCGTTCTGGAAATATATTCGAACATACATCCATCCATCCATCTAAGCATTCGCATTTATAATATTAGTAAGAAGATAACACTCTAGTCTGAGAAATTAGACTTTTAAAACAAACATACTAATATTATAAATGCGAATGTTCAAAGGTATTCCGCAAAACGACTGCATGTATCTCGTTGAAAGACACAGATTTTGAACACAGTCTGATGAACATATAGTCTACTAATAAGGGGAAATGCGGACGGAGTCGCGGACAACTTGTTTTCATATCTACTTCAAGCAAAAAAAGTGTAGCCCAAAATTTGTTAGCTAACAAGTCTAGATAGATAACTCCGAATATGAAGTGAATTTGCTAATGATATTTGTTCACTAATTTATCATAACATTGTAATTACATATTTCTGAAGTTCTTAAGAAGAAATTCAAATATACGTGTGAAGTCAACCCGCACTGGGACGTGATTGACTATGGCCTAGTCACCCCAAACTTAGCGTAGACTCCAAGCCCCTCGGTGGGGACGTATAGTGAGCTGATGATTGTAACACCGCTCTACAGTAATTTAAAAGGCATTAATTGGGAAGCATTTTATCATCCTCTTTGAAAAAACAAGCCCGCACCCAAATTAATTGGACGTTTGCAAATTAATTAAAGCGTACGGTTAATTAGTGTCAATACATGTTTATTTTGTGGACATGAACTGGCGAGGGCATGAAGTGGCCTTTAGTGTATTCTGCTATTTAATTAGCGTATACTGAGACAAGATTATTTGGACCGGTAAATGGCGCTACAATCGCGGTCATATCTGTAAAAAAAAAATTAGAACCTTGATTCGCAGAAATAGCGAAGAGACCACTACCCATAGACATCCGTAACTGCAGATGCGTTGCCTACCTTTAACGGACGGAGTCATCCTACGTCATATCCACTTCCCTTTCCCATCGTTTCTTTACGAGAAAAGTGTGAGAAGGGAAATGGGGTTTAGGATTAGACCTCCGACATGCACGCTCATCAGACAAAACGAATTACTTCCAATTCACGTAAACTCTAGTAAAAAAGTAGCTACAATACAACAAATATCTTTTGACACTATTTTTGCCATTGACATGGGAGCGGTAGTGAGCTGTCATAATTTAGTTTAACTTATGCCCACCAGGCCGTACAGACTAAAACGCGTCTGTTGACAGTTAAACCTGTCTATGTTATCACTTCAAATCCACACCACCTTCCTTCAGCGCAAAAATGAAGAAAATTCAAATAGGCACAAAATTTTAGATCATTAGCCAGTCCATTTAGAGAGGTCAGTGCCACCGGTTCAGATAACTTTGTCAGACTATACTGATGTATAACAAGATTCAAACTTAATTTGGACTCGTCTGCATAGGTGACAGGTTGAACAACTGAGAAAAAGGACAGCATGCAAAATGCGAACTTCTATTAAGTTTGAATAACTATATACAAAATGACGTATATTTTATTAAATTCTACGATGAATGTTATATGATTTTGCTATCCATCTTGTTAACAGCATTCATAACGAATTCGCAATTAAACTTTGTTAGATTGACAACTAATTCCATTTGTCTGGGTAACTGAAGTTAAAGAGATCTTGAACGAAGACATAACATAACTTAAACTACATTAATAATATCACTCCAATTAGAAGGTAATAAAGACGAAGTGTGTCATTTGATTTACAAGATTCTATTGTATTGTGACACGTGTTTAAGTTCTGGGAAGGATGTAGGGTTGAAACTTATATTCCAATAGAATAGAATAATACTTGTGAATTGGAAATAATACTAACCGTGGGTTTCTGACACAAAAATCCTCGTTTAAAACATATTATCTCTATTTTGTCAATGATAATGATGACGATATGTTTTATACAGAGATTTTGGTATCAGAAACCCACGGTAAGCGAAATAAAATACACAAATAACAAAGATTTCGTTGTGTTTAAGCATTCAACTAAGTATATTGTTATGTATATGTTATAAAATTGTCTCTTTGCCTATTCCTAAAAGTTCACAAATCAAGTAACGGATGGCTGAAAAGTCATAGTATCTTAAAAAAACTTAATAAGTATATCTTAACATTCGATATATTTTTGTAACTTCAACAGAATAAATCTTAAAAAAAAAACTGAAAAAAAATCGGACATCAATTTTAAAAAGTGTCAACCCTAAAGCGATTTAGGATGCTGTCGTATTTGTGTTATCGGTTGAATGATTCTACCCATATGCAATTAAGGCATTTTCAACCCTATATTAGGAATAATAGAGCATTAATTGTATTAACAAGGGTTTGAATACACGTGCGGAAACAGGAAGCAGTCTGTTAAACAACTTCCGAAGCTAAATGCGTTTAAACATACGATTGTGGTAATACATTCAAACAATCTCACTAATATTATAAATGCGTATGTTTGGATGGATGGATGGATGTGTAAAAGTATCTCAAGAGCGGCTGCATGGATCTCGCTGAAATTTGGCATAGACGTAGACCATAGTCTAGAACAGTGGTTCCCAAACTCATTTTTTTAGCGCCCCCCTATTTTAACATATTTAAAAACCAATATAACTTCAAATTAAATTAATTAATTATTGTGACCTATATATGTATATTAACGGAGAATTGTAAACTAAACTTTTACTATAACCCGCAACTTGAGACCTACAGCACCCACAAGGGGGCGTTATCGCCCACTTTGGGAAAGACTGGTCTAGAAGAACACATTGGGTACTAATAAAGTTTTTTTTTAACACCGCGCGGACGGTGACGCTATAGATGTCGTTCCACTGAAATTGATTTTGTATGCAAGTAGCTTAATCACAACACCGTTGTCTTTATTACGCACAATACTATCCCAATAAGGAATCAGCAAGCTGTCAACTTATATACAATTAATAATATTAGAGTGACTGTATGTGATATTGAAAAAAAAATATTTCGAGGACGTAGTGCGTTGCTGATTTTCATTATCCGTCTGTCCGCAAATCAGTTTATTCCGGGTAAACTCCGGCACAACTTCAATGTAGCAGACTCTACTTATCGTTGAAGTAAATTGGTCAGTGTTAACGTTGAGAAATCTGTCTGATAATGTGGGTTTCCATTGTCAGACATAGCGTTTTATGAAGATACTTCAGCAATGGAAACTCAAATGAAATGGCAAACATTGTACTGAATATAATCGATTTTAAACCAAGATACCGTTGACAGTTAGGTGTTAAGACGTAATTCTCTGAGTGTGAATACATGTGTACCGTTGCTTAGTGGGTTCTTAAGTGCGATAGGTTCGTTCCAAGCAATTTCTAACTTGTAATTGTGGAAGGTTTACGACTAGAGGTCTTCGACCGAGGTACGGTTAGGAAATAAATTTTGCAACATGTATGTACGCTCGTTTATAATCTTACTAATATAATAAATGCGAATGTATGTTTTTTTGAAGGTATCTCAAGAACAGCTGTATGGATCTCGCTGATTTTTTTTATAACAGAAGGGGGCAAACGATCAGCGGGAACATCGAGGTGTTCAACGACGCCCATGGACATCAGCAATACCAGAGGAACCGCAGATGCGTTGCCGGCCTTTGAGATGGTGATACGCTCGCTTCTTAAAGGACCATAAGTCGTAGCGGTTTGGAATTTTTTTGATCTCCGGGTGACGTAGGCTATGTTTACTTCTAGATTTTTTTTACCACGATGTTGAGGGCTACACTTTGTGTTGTATTCAACTCTAACAATGGCATGGGTTGGCATTAGTGTTAGTCATGCTTTGGATCTA